AAAAACTTATGACGTGTAATTAGCAGGTTTTGAAGGAAAACTACTCATAAGCTTCCTCGAAAGGGTCCTTTTAATTACTGGAGGTGCTCGTATGAGCGTGGTGCGATATAAATGGCCGGCCACTTGGCGCCCTAGCCTCGCCTGGCCTTATTAAAAATGTTAACACGTAAATTAGACTCCACACGGGCGCAGTGTATTAGCTAACCAATTAAATTTTACAGTTTTCGTATACAATGCAGTACGCGGTGACTGCAAGGCGGGGGATGAATTAGTGACACCAACTAGACTTGTCTGTACACTCCCTTATGAGAACCTTCATTTGCTTATGTTGTAGTATTTTCATTAATACTTTTTCTTTACACTTTGGTGACGCTTTGAGTATGTCAAAGCGTATAAAGTAGCGATTGAATAAAATTGTACACTTAAGTTTTTAATTACAACATTAAACATTGAAATAAATATGTACAGCCTCAGGTAGTTAGCTCGGTTAGTTAAAAAGGCATGTGGGAATTGCGACGTAAGGTTGGTAACATTTTCGTATCCCGAGTGTAAGAGTCCTTACACATGAGGAATTTAAATCTCAGTTACAACATTGCGCAACTGATGATATTGCTGAAAACGTTTCGGTTGTTGATTATGTTGCTCTTATTTAATTAAAAATATTACCTTAACTTTTAGTGAAATAAACATTCTGCAAATAATATCGCAAAAAAATGATCTTCTTATGTCATTTTAAGGTTATATACTTAATTGTATTAGAAGCGAATTGTAAACGTACTAGAAGCGAATACTGGCATAGTACTACGCATCGTGTAGATTAAATGTATGTACATTTTGTAGATAAATGAAATCAACACGGGAGGTCGGTACGCTTGTGTGTAAACCGCTTAAAAGGTTTTTACCTCGGTTGGTCTAAGTGCACACCCTCATGCGACTAGTTGGATGTGTAAAAAGATTAATTGGAGTGTTGCCCGTGTTTCTAACAATTTACGACGCCTTCTCTGCCCCGGCCGGCCGCAGACCACTTCTGCGCAACTTAATTAAGCGAAATAACTTAAACGAGTCACCGTTGCTAATTAGTGCTATCGTCGCGCCCGCAACGGCTAATTCTACGAGTGACTCTTTGTTTGCGAGCCCGCTCACTTCTTTGAGTTCGCGCGCCAAAAGAATTTGTCTTTGCATCGACTTTGAGTAAAGGATGTTTGTTTTGCCCCCCCAGGGAAGTTTCTGTGAAGACTTTTGTGTTTGTTTGAACTTTTGCGGCGTTACTGAATGCGATGAAGACGCAATTATAGCCAGTTGAGTTGTTTAGAAAAGTTGATACAGTTAAAATGCCTTGAGCTTTAAGAATAATAAATGTATCGCAGCCAGAATCATTCATTTAAAATTAACAGTGTAATGTTGAATTTCAATCGCGATGCGTTGAATAATATGTCATCAAATTGACTCAAATGTTTAAACTGCGACAAAATGGCCGTTTTAAGGCTAAGTATTAAAGGAAACAAACTTAAATCGGCTTAATTCCTAGGCGACTAAAAGACACAAGGAGAGCTCTCGGCTGCTAGAGCACTCGATGTGTCCTACACGTCAACAAGTGGCTGGACGTGTAAGAGGGGGCTTTATGATTTTATGTCTTTAAATCTCGAACATAAATTGACATTGACATTTCAAATTTTAAAATAAGAACATCTATTATTTTATACAACCTAACCTGTCATCTTTGGATTATTATTGTCTATGTTCAATACTGAATGATTGAATTACACTTACATTTTAAATCTTTTTGATTCAACGGTAATTATAATGTTATCGATGCTTACTAATCAACTAGATTAGTTTTTACCTATTAAATCTCATTAGAATTGTTTTTTTTTACGATTACAAATTGCTTGTTACAACGTGTGAGTCTGATTATTATTAATTAAAAAAAAAACTCCCTCTAATCAATGTAAAGTTAAAGTTAACGATAGCCTTTTAGCATTTAGATAAATTTAATTATGGTAAATCCGATAACAATAACAATATTGTGCGTTAATTATCGATAAATGAAAGTTTTTTTTAATCGGCAATTAACTAGCGATAGAAAAAGAAAACCATAAAATAGTTTATGGTAGATTTGTTTGAGTGTTACTTTGAATGAACCGAAAGACGAATATAAATGCCACTATTTGCGCCTCAAGGTATGATTTTTTAAACTTAATCGATGTGCCTTTAAAAAAGCATTTGTCGGACACCTTAGTAATTGCGTTTAGTGTAGAACTACCCTCACCCTTTCAGTCCTTTCAGAGATGTTTATCGCGAAGGAAATGGCCGTTTTCCGTTGTCCACAATGCAACCATTAAGGGGACAATGCTAATGGACTAAGTTGTACTAAGTCGTGGAGCGAAGATTTCTACGTGTTTTGATTTATTTAAGATATTATTTTTGTTTGTGGACTTGGAAGGACTTCTAACAATAATCATTCTTAAGATAACAGGAGTTCAGCGTCACTAATGGTCAGTGATGACTAACACGCCAGTTAAATGCTTCAATTTTTGCGCGGGAAATACATTTTCAAAATGAGAAAATTACAAAATGTTGCCAGCGTATATAAGTATGATAAGTATTATCAAAGCTTTCACTCAGTAACGTTTTATCAACTTAGATAATGATAATACAAGCTTGAGATAGCAATAGAAGCTTTAATATGAAAGTCGTTATATCAACATCGTTCAAGTGTTTGCAAACATCGCGACATCGCCCGTATTCCGCGAACGGGGTACAACCGATACGATAATAAAACGATATCGCATCGATCTGATGATATTAAAACAGAAAATTTAATAAGATTAGGATGTTACTAGTCAATTACCTAATCCCATAAATGAAATACTTTCTTTGTATTTCTGTTTAGGCGTTGTTTAACAATTAATTTTTACTTTAAAACTGAACTTTTAGTTTTTTCGTCATTACATTTCTTTTTACAAAAGTGTAATTTATAATACTAAGGACATTAAACCTTGGATGCTGTTAGGTATGTCTCATTGTCGAGCTGACAGGTAAATTGATGTATTAAGGGAATTTATTGAATAATCATTGAGGTGTATGTTATGATTACGAAAGTTATCGGTATCAAACGTGTACGATGTATATCGTATGAAACGTGTCTGAATAATCTGCGAGCGTAAAAGAAGGGGGAAGGTGTTTATCATAGAAGCACGGGGCTTATAGCAGGTGCCTCTTATCAATGGACTTAGATAACGTGAAAATTTTGTCGAGTAGAAATCAATACCTGGCCGGATTTTTCTGTTGCTTGTAGCCGTTTTATCGAAAGTATTTCACGGTGTGTTAAAAACTTTTACGCACTTATCTCTAAGTTCAATATTAAAGTAATGATTATCGTTAAATAAGTGTAAGATAATATTATATTAATTATTTAAATATATTAATTATATTATACACATGTATTTTTGTTTTCGTTCGAAATGCAAACCTCATTAGGACGAAGTAAAAGTGGGAGGCTTGATAAGCAATATCGACGATTCATATTATTTCTAATATTTATAATATATATAAACCTATTGTATTATTTTTTATTTCCTTTTCAAGTAGCATCAAAAAAGTACAGCATCGTTACAATATCGTTACAAAGAATAAGTGTTAGTCTTTTTTTTTCTTTGAGGGTAAATTAGATTGTCTTTCCATTTTGTCTAGGCGGTGTTTACCCCCTCTTTGTGTTTGTCTATTTTTTTCTCGTCTTATGTCATTTAACGTAATCTCTCCATCATATATTCCGTTAGAAGTAGAGAGTAATTTGACAAGAACTTAAAAATACTACAATAGTTAACACGTAGTTTATGTATCAACATTTTTTGTATTTTCAATTCTAAACGATAAGTTAAATCTTTCGAATGCAATATTAAACAATTATAAACTGTCTATTTGTTTACACCCGTTCGGCATTTAGTTGAGGGTGGCACCCCTACTGTGAATTTGATAATTAGGAAATAGTGAATCGAAAACCCTTTACTGTGAAGGAAGATGTTGGAATTGCTATTAATCAATTATGTTTACCCTATTTTGAACGTTTAACGTATTTAGACAACATATAAATCGATAAAATAAACTGTTTCTGTTATTTTTAAATATATTTTATTAAGTTTCCTCAGTGCGACATTTTATGAAGACAATATCGTTTTGATGTCAATAGTACCAACATGACTGAAACTGACAATCTATATATAAAATAACAAGTTATGTGCCATGAAAATGAAGCATTATAATTAAAGTTTATCAATACTTTCCTTAAAGGTATCAAGTACAATGGTAGGTTGGTAACATTTAAATAGATTACTTCATATAATTTAACACTTTAACAAATATACGACAAGCAATGAAGTACTTTATCTGTCACGATTTCCGTAAATAGGGATAATATTACGTAAACGGCCATTTAAAACAATCTATCCGTGTACCTATTTATGTCATTTTATTTAATATCAGACTTGTTTGTAACCCGAAATGAGTTCATATCTAAAACGCATTTACCGCAATATTGTGTAACCGTTTTAAAAATATAACAAACGATAGTGTAGTCTGTAAGTCGTTGGATTACAGATTAGAATTAAAAAGACGTTTTTACATGGAATGTAAATTATTAATTAATTAATTATAATATTGGCTTATTAATTAGTAAGCTTGATTCTAATGATTCTTGGAACGTTTTGTCTATGTCTGTGAAATGATAAGTAATAAACTTTTCAACTTCAACTTTTGTTATGAATAAACTTTTCAAACCGCAAAGTAATTTAAATTAAGAACGACCTTTGTATGTTAAGAATAATAAGGCTTTTTTCTGGTCTTTTTTTCTTGAAATTGTAAATAGGTATGCTAATGGCGATTGAATGAGAACTGTCAGTGTCAGAAGAGAATAATTCGATCATATTACGAGTATATTATGATTTGATGTTGCAAGAGTATAAAAGTAAGTAGAAAAATAATATTAGGCATTGTAAACTTACCGGAAATTGGAGAACCACTTGACAAGTTGTGCTGTGTTGTTCTTGTTGAACTTGATGTCTGGGAAGTACATCTTGAGGACGGCCGAGCTTGGGTACCGCACCCAGAAGAACATCAGTTTCGCCTTGCGTAGGTGCATGGGCGTCAATGTAGAGGAGTGCAATGGAGTCAAGGTTTTATTGGAAATATGTAAACAGGTAATAACAAATATACATACTAAGAAAAGTAATATGCCATTATAAGTTTCATGTTTCGAATGTGACAGTACGTTTGCTTAATTAAGGTTCTTAATAGGGGCGGCGAGCCCTCAAGATGGTCTATTTAAATTATATAAAATCTGATTGGATCGTAAACACAACACGAAGCACCACAAATACTTAATCCGTTTGCATTTTCTAATCTTATAATGTGCCTTAGCCGCTGTCTGCTCTTCCAGCGTAATTGTTACAACGAAAGTAAGTCATTTTAGTTTTATTGAGTTGGTAGAAGGACCAGCATTGTGTACTGTTCGGTTATTATAATGTTGATTAAATCTGTTACCAATCTTTGATAATTTATAAGAAATCGGATAAAATTATTTTTGAACACAGGAACGCTATTCAATATAAAAATAACGAGGTACGCGCTTTGCATTGTTAAGTAAGTAACTTGAAATTCCTTGTACCTAACTATTTTAATTTAAGACTGGTTCATTTTAATAGTTTTAAGAATGCAAGGAAAACGAATGAATACAAATAATAGTCATAGTGTTTTGTAAGTATGCAATAGGCCTGGGATCGTGGAAAACGTAGAAACCACAACATTTGTGAGGTTTCCACAGTCGTAATACCTAACCAGTAAGTAGGAAGTAGGCGGCGGCAGTCGTAAGGTTAAACACTACAGAAATAAGATATGAGTGGGCGTTTTGTGGTGAAGGATTTGTTGTAAACTGAGCTCAGATTTCGTCCAAGTTGGCCTCGATTTAATAATGCATGTTATATTAATTTTAATTGATAATAGTTTGTTATAATCTATTTGAAAAGGATATAGTAGGCAGAACTCCATCGTAAGGCAGGTCTGTGGAGTTGCAGTCGGAGTGCGGGTCCTGTGCGTCCATATGTGGGTGGTGTTGTGGGCCGGCGTGATGACCCACGTTCGGATGGTGGTGGCGTAGGTAATCAGGTGAGGCATGATGCGCCGCCGCGATCAGAGCGGGGTGCAGCAGTGCTGGCGCGTGTGGCAATGGTGGTGACTCCCGTTCGGGCACCGCTGGAGGCGACCGCGCCAAACCCGCCCCAAAGAAAGGCGAGTATGGCGAGAACACCTGGCTTTCGTGTAGTGATGGGTTTGGAATCGCTACAGTTGTAGACAGCCCAGTGAAAGGTCGCGGTGACGGTGACTCCGGGAATTTACTTTCCGGTGAATGCCCCACACCTTCTCCACCTAGGATGCGGCTGACCGTGCGAGGTGTTATTCTTGTGTCTGTCACCTTATGCCGCTTCTTCTTCGGTGTCGAGACTAGGTTGAGCGCCTCATTCTGCTCGCAATTAGGCTCCCGTTCGAAGTGTCCATTCATGTGTCCGTAGAGGGGTCCTAATGGTTTCGGCGGTGCCTGGAACATGCCTGTTGGAGGTCGCACGTGAGCACCGTGACCAGGCCCGCTCGCCTCGGCGTGCAGCGGAAACGCCACACCACCCGGCGCGCGGGGGCCATTCATTTGAGGCATCAGCATTGGATTATGTGTCATAAATGATGGGACGCCGTTTGGCGCACCCGAGTGATGGACGGGTTGGTTACCTGACATCTGTCCTGACGGCCTCTCCGGTAGCTTTGGGGTCGGTGACTTTCTCTCGGCGAGTATCCGCTGTGCTCTCATGAAGTCTATGTTGAGCTTGTCGACTGCCGCCGCTGCTATCTCAGACTGCTTGCCCATGATACGTCGTTGATGCACGAAGCGTGTCACGATAGAGTCGATGAGGCTTGCAAGCGATGCTGTTATTTCATTCTTAAGTACCTCCGCCAGTCCCTCGAGATCAGCTCCGGTCACAGGCCCCACGGAGCCTGAATTACTTCGAAGCGCTTCGAGCCGCTCGGCTAGTTCAGATGATGGTGGAGGCTTTGGCGTTTGTATCAACTGTCTCTGCTGAGGTGAGTGTTGGGTAGATTGTGGTTTTTGTTGTTGGTTATTATGTTGTTGTTGCTGTTCAGCAGCTTCTTTCATACGAGCCTCCTGCTCTAGGAACAATTTTTGACTTACATTTAGGTACATAGCAGCAGCATTGTTGAGATGTTGATGCGGATGAGGAGGGTGCATATGGTCACCGGGTTGCAAGTGTGGCAACATCGGTAACGAACCATTAAGCCCAGGCACTGGCAGGTGTGGATGACCTACGGCGTGCGCATGCATCTTAGTTGACATCATCTTGTGCATCACTTGCGTGAGCATATTAGGTGCAACACTATTCGGTATGGGCGGGGGCACTTCCTTAACAGGTGACGCGGGCTCTGACTTAGGCACTGGGTCCTCAATCTGTTCTACATCACTAGAAGCACCATCATTATCGTTTGTCTCTGATTCCTGTCCCATACGATTGCACAGCTGCGCGTATTTCTCTTGCATCTCAGCGAGTTGCTCTTGCATCGACCTAAGTTGCGACTTGAGAGCGTTTTTCTCTACTAACTTACGTTCAATGGGTCGTTCACCATCGTCCTCGGAATCATCCGACACTGTCTGTGCACTGCTGCCGTGGCTAGTCCCGTAGCGCTCTGCAGCCCCGTCATGCTGCTGCGGATGATACAGTTTCCGTTTCTTACAGCCATTCACTTGCGGTTGTTGCGGCGCGGGGCTAGAACGCATAGTCGACACTATATTTTCCACACGAGCACGTTTCACATCGAGCGGTCGCGGGGAAGAACGTTGAGCGTCACTATCACGGTCTTCTGGTTCAGACTTGGGTGCTAGCAGTGACTCTGATCCATTAGGTGGATGCGTCAGGGGCGGAGAAGTGCGCGAGTCACCGGCGCTGTCGAGCGCCAGTAACGCGTCGTCCAGGTCCTGGCGGGAGTCACGAGACACCGGCCGCTCCGGGGACATCTTCTCCTTGGGTTCGTCGTTGTTATTATTCGCGAGCACATTGTTATTGTCAGGCGATAGGCGTAGGAGTTCCTTCTTGCGGCTTTGCAAGATATCACGCAGCACGCGGTGCGCAATGTCTCCACTGGACGCCTCATCGTTAGGGTCTTCTTGCTTGGGTGCACGCCCAAGTAGTTCATTTATCATTTCGGCCGGAGGATAGCCCGGTCCGAAAAGGCCAAAGTGTTGGCGGCCCTCGAAGATGGCGCCGTAAAGTCCTCCGCTCATGTGTGCGGCGCGCGCGGGCGCGAGTCCGTTCGTCGTGAGAGTCGAGTAAGAATTGCGCGGCTCACCGGCGTCCACGCGCTGTCTGGCGCGTTTCTGTTTCCTTAGCAGTTTATCCGAGTAGGGCGCGTGTGAGTCGGCCTCCTCCTCCGATGACATCATAGGCGAGACGCGCCGGGATTGGCCGAGCGGGCGGCGGGTAAGGCCCCACCGCGCTACTTGCGCCGCATCGCCCGCTCTGCAACAAGGAGGGGAGCGTCACGGCGAGCACACCTGCCCGCGCGCTGCAGCGCGGGCGCGTGCGCTCACTACGACGTGCATCGTGTTGATACATTCCTTACAACTTGATGTATAAAATTTCGTTCTTAATGCTTATGTAACACAATTATGTTTATTTTTTATTTCTTACAAGCAACTTTCTAGATCTGATAAATTCTAAAAATTAACTAAACACTTAACTGAAATAACATTCCAATGAACCAGACTAGGATTATTACCTACATTATGTAGAATGCCTATCGTATGCGATCGTTATCAAGAAATCGATCTCCTATTGGCGGTAGACATTGATACGTGGTCTACAAAAGTTGTGTCATATCGTTCGAATATCTGAATAATTTCTCGTAATGATTGCTCGTAAAACAAAAGCACATAGGTACCTATTGTTACAAAGTATAAGGAAAATGTGATAGCAGATAAAACATATCAATATTGACAAACCGTACATAATAGGTGTAATTTATAGTGATCACAAATAAGTGGATAACACAATAAACATTAATTGTTAAAAAATATTAGTAAATCATTTTTTCGGAAGGTTGTCTATAGTTTTCGGGAAACAAATAGGCTTAAAACAATGCGACCATAGATTACCTGATTACCTATACTAGTAAGTTGATAGTTATGTACCGTGTCGTGTTGACAAACGCTGGCCACATGACGCCATTAATTTCTTTTGGAGCGTGACTCCTCGTTCGGAGGACAATGTAGCTTAAATTTCAGAAATTATTCTGTGAGACACACGGTATGATCGTATCCATTGCTAATGCGATACGATTTCGTAAATATTTAAATATTGACTAGATTTATTTTGAGTTCTGTAAGTAGAGTCAGCACTGTTATCTGTTTCTCACTATCTTGTAAGAATCTATTCTATCAAACTTTACTTACTAATTTCCTAATAAGAAAATAAATCTAAAGGAACACTAAGAATTTATACCTACTTCCCTTAGTGTTAATCTTTCTCGATCTATTTTCCTTAAAAAAAAGTTAGCAAAGAAGTAAATTTGTATTTGTAGTACTAGTTCCAATTATACAGAACTTTTGCTTGCAAATACTTTTTCTATTTGTCTCGTGCTGTTTTTGTTTTGATTAGGAAATAAGAGGGATAGAGTTAGCAAGTTTACGTCTTCGCTCTTCGCTCTTTGGCGACAAGAATTCAGAAACTACCTTGGAACCTAACTAAGAAGGATACTGTCCCCGTAGAATAACATTCCAGCTCTCAAGATTCTGCTAAATTCCTAAGACATTATCAATATAACAAGTAGATGTATACCTACTCGTATGTATTTTTTCTCGTATGTAATGTGTATGGGGGGTCTATTGTGGTTGGATGTTAGGTACATCCGGCTGCAATTTGCTCACACAATGAGATGGTATCAATAGCGGATGACTTCCGATGGTGGCGTGTCCACTTGCGACCGGCGTCATGGCTCGCGGGCTGCTTGTGTTACCGGTGGAATAACAGATACGGATATTGATGATCTTACTAAATTTAAGTGTACCTATACTTTTTAGAAGAACATCTTAGAAAGAGAGAGATCTCTTTTTTTGTTATGAACAATTCTAGGAATGTCACCAGTTGAAAGAATGAGACTTTTGTTTTCGTGTTGTAGTCTGAAAAGAGAATGGTGAGGGTTCATTTAATACGAAGAGCGCTTTTGTACATACAATTATTAGATAAGTAGATTACTGTAATTTCCTATTCAGGATTATGTTATTTCTACTTTTGTTGCCTGTATGTATTTTTTGTGTTGTTTGTTAGAAAAACTTTTATTGTTATAACTCGACAAATTATGTCTAGTGAGTTTTAGGTATTTGTCATTATTGTATGACCGGCTTTAACGTAAGCCGTAAGTAGTGATAGTGTATGTTGACATCAAATGTAATAGGATTATATTATTTAATCATGGCATGTTATAAAACTTAAATAATATGAGAGGAAACAATTTGAACAAAAGGAAAAAAGTAAAATTTAAAAGTTAGATGGTAATAGTAGTTAATATACATATAAGCATATTTTCGCTTCGTTAGCGTTAGTTAGAAAAAAATATTTACTAAAACATCCTCTTATGTTAAACCAAAGGTATGTTTTTGTTCTAATTTATTGAATCCATTTTGGGTTTGTTACTAACAGTTAAATCTTCCAATATTACTGCTTCTACAATAAGAATAAAAAATGCAACCTCGTTATAGTCATGCTTTTCCAATGAAAAAATAAAAACCAGACAATTTTCAAATAGTCCTTAATCAGTTATTACCTGTCATTTCGTTACCTACATCTCGACGTAGCACACACACATAGGCTTTAATGTGTTTTTGTATACCATACACGGTTCCAATTAGATTGTACATGTGTGTTTAGAACATATGGACCGTGTGTAGTATTCGTATATAATGGAACACAGTATTAAAGTTGACGGACTTTGTAAAATAAATGGTGTTTTTTTTTAGCAATAATTATGAAAGATAACACAAACATTTGATTAAAGAAAATTATGACGAAGTCCAAACACTTTTAGTAGTGAGAAACATCCGTCGATCCCCATGTGCTGTCACATTATGTTTTTGTTTGCAAGAGGAATCTTTTCCGCAGTTTGTTTATTATGTGATATGTCTTGTATGTGTGTAATCATCAACAGCCTTTACTAGTCCAACTGCTGTCCACTGCTCTATAGGCATCTCCTTAGAAAGAAGGTTTTTCCCACTATACCAAGCTGGCCTGATGGGTTGGTATGGGGTTTGTTTCAAGTTTTCCTTCTCTCTGCAGTGCTGTTGTCCTGCGTAGTTTGCTCCCTTAGCCGCCTCTTACGACACCCACGGGATGAATAGTGGTGGTGATACTCTGTATTCTCAATCCGTCACCACACGGAGCGTAATCTTGGTGTGTGTAATCTTGATATAAATTAAATATTAAAGGAAACTCTACATTCACTCAGGTATTTTACTAATAAAATTTATTTTTCGTTCAAAACTTGTATTTGTCGCTAATACATTTTCAACATAATTTCCAAGAGATATTTCAGTACATGTCTACATGGCGACATAAGTAGGTTTGTTAGAAACGTTGGTCTAACGCATATCATTACTGCCTTTGGTCATTGTGCTATTGTAATTTGCGCTTATTTTAGTACGATTTCCATACAAGAGATTGCGAGATGTGTACTGAGTCGAGTAGAATGTGATTTTAAACTGTATCTTTCGGAATTAAAGGTGATTTTTGAACAGTGATAATACGAGTATGTGAGTCGCTGAACCATCTCGAAATTGTTCCGGTACTTCCTGTTCTTTATAATTGTTTTATTTTGTGAACAGGTCGATATACTTTGGTGGGAAGATATAATAGCTAGGTTTTGTTGCGCAAAATTTAAATATTTTTTTAACAATAGAACACTGAATTCAAATATTATGGTTGAAGTGATGTGTATGACATTTCGAACATATTAAAAAGAAAGCAAAGCCACTAGGCTGAAGTCACAATTTTAAATTTTCCAAATTTTCTTTCAATCTTATTGCCACTTCATGATAAGGCTCTCGGGTTTAAAAAAAAGTAAATGTGATTGATTATTTGTTTACTAAATACAGGTATTGTATTGTAAAATAAAATAATTGTTAGATAAATAGTACTTATTACTGTATATGTAGGTGGAGTAGGTTATATTGCCCCATATTCCTGAACGCTGCGATGTTTGACACAACAATTTATGTAATTAACCTCATGAATAAGCAATGCGATGTCGAATTGCGATCGGTTATGAGGGCCCTTTACAAGTTGCGATGTGATGGTTAGTAGCTTTATTTATTTATTTACGATTTCATGCACAAATACATAGGCGGACTTAATTCCTAAGGCATTCTCTGCCAGTCGACCGATTGAACAATGCAGAGAAAGAATCAGGGAGTGTTCACTTATGGGGATAAATTATAGAATCCTTATTCAGTGCCTACTATTTGTCGTTCACATAGACAAATATACGCAGTTATATATTATTATACATATACCCGAATTATCGCATTTACATACATTCATTCTAATAGTATTATATGATATGTTTAAAAAATAAATTTAAGTAATATTAACCTCTTGTGAGAATATGAGATTTTTTCCCACTCGACACTAGTGGAAACGAATCCAGTCACCAGTGGATATATTTAAAAAAAAAAAAACCATTTGTCACCAGTGAATAAGTAAAGAGGTACAACATTGTTTCGTCTTTTCACTTTGTTGCATGTATTTACGTAGGTATAATCTTTCCGAGTGTTTCTCAGTCGTGTGGTATAAAATACAGGGCGCCACTATGCAGTCGGGACCTGTTGATTTCCATCCACAACGCACGACAGGGGTACAGTAGTTAGTGTTGTCGCATGCACGTGTAGTGTAGACAATATCGACAAAAATAATCAAAATGTAAGTAAATAAACACGTAAGTTTATTGGCATTAATAATTGAATACTTTAAATGTTTTATTTCATATTAGAAATATTTTGTCGCTTGGACGTACAATAGTTATTATAAATAAATACCTAAGGTGCCGTGGATTCTTAATCTACAATATTTATTAGTTTTTATTTCCTTATACCTTATATTATTGGCCAATAATAAAGTAACTTTCCTTATTTTAAACATCTAGTATAATTTCCGTGGATATATCATAAACTTAGGTATTAATGTAAACTGTAATTTGACGCAAAACTGACGATAAAAATAGCTTTTATCCTGTTTAAATAAGATATAGAGTTTTGTGAAGTCTGTGTCAAAAACTTACATTCAAGATGACTATGTTCGACACGTGCTTCTAATGTCCTGCCGAGCCGTAACCGAATAAGAGAATAACTAATTGATGCGTATTGCAAATATACCTTCACGAATACCCCGTTTTTCATGTAACTGTTGAGACGTATATTATTTTATAATTATATATAATCGGCTTATGTAGTCACCACTATACGCTACACAAAATTTGTGGGTGCGACTCTACACTTGAAAAAAGTTAGTGTGTTTCACAAATATTGAACACTAGTCTGGGTTTTCTTTGTTATCCGTTGTTGGAATGCTTGTAAAGTTTTTGAGATGTCCTTTTAAACAAATTCTAATTTCTTATAAGAACCACGCTAGCAACACCAGCTTCAAAGTAGGAATTTCAAAGTTATAAAGGAAAATTTCTCTTAAAATTCCGATGTAGGTACACCCCTAGTGTTTCAACCCGAGCGTGCTTAATTTGGCGTGACCTGGCGACGTCTAATTTTTACGGAAACATTTCTTTTTCCTTCCACACCCGGGACGAGAACAATAAAGATATGAATACTACACATTAATAGCTCTACAAGAACTTTATATTTGTTTTAAATCTGCTAAACATATAAAATAAATATCAAAACTCTCGAATGTCTGATACAAAATCCTTTAGTATTTGATATATGAGAATTTATAATACTATTATTTTGTGTTATGTTATGGTAGCGATTCCAAACAGTTTAACCAGCCTTCATGATTACCACTCTGCTCCTATGGTTTTAGTGACTATTGAGAGTAAACAAACGCATGCACCTTCACACACACACACACACACACATCAACAGCCTTTAATAGTCCACTACTGGACTGGATGAACTAAAATATTAAAATATACGTAATTATGTTAGAATAGACTTAGATTAT